AACTTATTTTTACCTCTTAATAGTTACACCAATTTTAGGAGAAATAAATGATTTAAATATAAGTTTTCAAAAAAATAACGTAGACCTAGGATTAGCTTATGAAGACTTGAAAAATTTTATTTTATTTTTAGCCAGTAAAATAATGAAACCTAGTTTTATAGCTGAAAATAAAATTAATGTAATTATAAATGCAATGGATAATGACTTAGCTTTTCTGCATCCAACTGAGATTGATTGTGGCGTTGAATATCAATTAGCATTGCAAACAAAAAATATCAACAATGAAATGCGAAAGGAAGTCCAATACCGGGTTTTTAATTACATTAAAAGTTTATGCCAAGAGCTATGTACAAGATTGCCAACGAATCTAGAATTTTATTATAAGCTAAGCGCTATATCACCAAAAACTTGTTTAAGCAAAGAACGCCCTGCTTTTATGCAGTTGCCATTCGTTAAAGAATTGATCCCACGTAGTTTATTAGGAAAGGTTGAATCTCAATATGCTAAGCTTATGACAATAGATTTACGTTCTAAACTGAGTGAAGAAGAGTTGACGGATAGTAATAAATTTTGGGTGGCAACATACAATTTAACAAACGCCAGTGGTGCATTTCCATTAAGAGAGTTATCTCATCACATGCTTACTCTATTGAGTTTACCCTCAAGCAACGCTGTTGTGGAAAGGGCATTTTCGATCATGAATTTAATTAAAACTAAAACCAAAAATAGATTAGAGTTAATTTCTCTAGATTCTTTGCTACGTATAAGATTAAATTTTTATTCAAACGGTGAGTGCTGCAATAAGTTTAAGCCGTCCGATAAAATGATTAAAGNACTGTATCAATGGGTAGAGAAAATGATACCGACGATCTCGTTTCTTTCGAGGACAATATTATCGACGAGATATCAACCTTGGAAAATGTTTGTTCTCATTAATAATTATAAATTTTATTTTAATAATAAAGTTCTTGGTCTAATTTATCTTTTTTTTTCAATTCCTTATAAATCATTGTTCACTTTTCCTCTAGTAACATTCCCTCTGATAAGTTTAAATCGCACAAAAATCACACACAATACGACGATGAAAAAAGTTATTTTCTGCAAATTGTTATAACTTTCTTCATCGTCATATTGTGTGCGATTTTTGTGCGATTTAAACTTCTTTGAATGGCGATTAGTGGCGACTTT